ATAGAAGATCATGAATCCACAGCCACTACTCACCTAATCGTCTGCCCAGCATACGGGCCCGACGCAAACAGGATTGGGAGACCAATCCTGCTTATGTTTGCCTCTCGTGGAGGACCCTCGACAGGCACCATATTCGATGGCTGAGGGGGGGCAGCATTTCCCAATGGGTTGTGGTACTTTGGATGGGTCAGTTGCTGTTGAGGACGGTGGAGAAGACGGAGAGCTCACTGGATACATGCAATGAGCTCTCTGGGGAGCGATCGGCTGTTCTGTAGGAGTCCAGGGATTTGGCTGTCTGTAAGCATCTCTCGACTTGTGCTCTTTATGTACCCTTCTGCGGAGTTGCGGAGCTGCGGAGTTTTAATTTTGGGTGCATGGCGATGCTCTGGCGAGTGTATCAAAAGGTACCGGGCCCGGCACACTGTGCTAGTGCCATGAGTAGAGGTGATATTCTTCCTTTGACAGCCACAGATGGTGGATGCCCACATTCGCGAGACAAATAGATCATATCGGAAGAGACTTCTAACACCTCACGTTGCGGACGCCACGGCCCAGACGCCCGCTTATCATTCTGCCTCGAGGCGTAATCAACAAGGAGCGCTGAATGACCAATCGTGTCTGACCCGAGATTTGATCCCGTTGCCAATTCAGCTCCGGAGGCCGATGGGAATTTGACCCGCCCTCGAATATACGCTCGATTTGTCCTAGCCTGCATGGACGCAATGGAGCACGATTCGTCATCGCACGGTCCCGCAGCCCGAGAATTGGAATCATGGGTGTCCTAATGCGGTATCATAGTTTATTCTTTCTCGCCTGGGTTCTCAGGGTCTTCCCTGGGTATCCTACACTGATACATGTCTCCATTGAAATGGATCCAGGGCAGATGCTATTCTTTCCAAAGCCGGCGCTTGGCTGCCACTTTTCCATGATCTAACGATATATCCTTTCATATCCCAAAGACTATACATTCAAGGATGGTGGTTCTAGCCGGCACGTGTGGCATATACGGCTATATGAGGGTTGTCGGGGATAACTACAAAAATAGTCATGTAATAGTGACATAGAGTGCTCCATGTTCTTCCGTTGATCTAAGACCGAGTACATTCGACAAGCAATGTTAACGTAGCTTTCGATAAGTACATATTACCCCGGGCGTCCGTCCATATCGACAAGTCCGAATTCCGAGTCCGAGATGACATTGTCCAAATTCCGAGCGCGTTGTTTCAATCTATACACTCAAAGGACACGCCATGGCGCGTTTCCGATCTACGCATGTGTGGCAATTAATTACATATCCTGCACCACAAGATTGTTTCCTCTGATCAAACTCAATCAACCTGGCAGCCCTTCGCATTTAAGCTGGAAGCGTCGGTGTTTGAGCTTCATTCGGTTAGGAACAAGCGGGAAACAGGGAAATCTCTAGCAGTCGTATCGGTCGTATCTATGATGGCCGGTTTGAGAACTGAATGACAAAAAGACAACAGGAAGTTTCGTTTCTAGCCAACGGCACACATACAAAAAGTGTCACCAAATTCGCACACAAAAAGGATGAGAATAACACACAATCGGGCATCCATGGCCAGTCCCAACTTGCTCGCAAACGAAAGGAAAGCAGAGAGCCCTCCGGCTCTAGACGCGCCACAGACATAGAAATACAGCACTAACTAGCGCAATCGATGAGCACGTTCTATATCTGTGAAATCTGCCGAAATGACAAGTCAGCAGTTCAAATTTATCCGGACGGATTATCGATTCAATATGTCTTTCTATACCTCAAATTCAACCAACGATCAACCAGCTGCATTACAGTGCCACATACTACGTGTCCCGTTTAGGATAAATGGGCCAAATAGCGAGCGGGTGGACACGGACTCTGGCGACACCGGCCTCTTGCCCAACATGCCAGCTGTCACGACCTCCCCAACTTGAGGCATATCTCCCTGTGATGAGGTCATCACCACCTAGTTTCGACAACAATAAGCTCAGCCCCGTCGGAACCTCGAAGCTGGGCAAGGCAAATCCAATCGTTGGCTCATTGGGCCTTCGCAGCATTTCGATTTAATCTTAGTATATCATCCTCGCGTCACCTGATTGCGACCTGCAGAATTGAATACCCGGTAGATTTCCAGCTTCTAGACCGACCTCCAGCTTCCATACAGTATTGTGCCTCAGATCTAACATTATCAGTGTTCACGTACAGATACACTATCGACACGCCCTGAACCGCCGCCATATCGACAGAATATCGACTGGCCGACTTCTTTCCTTCGTGACTGCATTGCTTCCTTCACCCACTACAATGGCAATATGCCCTCATATAGTCTGGCATATCTATTTCGGTGGATGAATGGCGTCCGATCTAACAATAGTCGCCATTCCTATATAATTACGCGTGATGATCGGCCGGCTCGATCTTCGAATTTGGATGGAAACGTCGATTTTGCGCGACTTCTTCCGAGTCAAGGGAACAGCCGGCCCAGCTCATTCATGTGCCAGGTCGCCACCCCCCATTGGAGAGCACAGTGACGCGATTGCAGAGTGCATGCAGACTGAATGGACACGCACAGTAAGCTCAAATCCTATTTCGTCGAAGGAGAATTCCGAACGGATGCGTAGGGACTCCGCAAGTGCCAATCTAGATCCAAGTGAGCCTTCCGCCATTCTGGCGCGCTAGATAAATGAACGGTTAATCGTCACCATCATTGTGAACGCCAGTACATGCACCTGAATCTTCGATCCGCCACCTCGGAACGGAACTCTACCCATCAATTGCATTTTGCGCCGTTCCTGGGGCGTGTGATCATCGACTTGCCTGTCATCTTCTTGTGTTGCGTCATGGGACGTTCTATCCATAATCGCTCATATCGACACACGCAGGGGACGGAAAATGGAACCTTCCCTTAGTAGAGATATATATACAATGTCAAGTATTGTGTCCCCACGTGATCCAAGTCGACATTATTACGTCCTAGCGGGCACACGGGCAACAGGTACGTGGTGTGAAACACGATCCACATGCTGGGGATGCAATGAAGTGCCAATATCAATATTATGTTGGCCGGAATGTTCCTTGTCGGTAATCAACCTGGCATCCCTAGAATATTATAGAGTATCACTTAACATAGCTTTAGTAATATCTCTGTCATCCCTCCCAGAACTTTCTTCCCTGTAGACACATATAACCCCCTGTAGTTCACTCATAGGTAGGAGCCAGGTTATATATTCCAATATCTACTGTGGTCTGCGCAAGCTCCCAATATTCCTTGCTGCTGGTCCCCGGTGGTTCCAGTGCCAGCACACGACACGAGGCGTGCAGGGATAGATCCGAAGGGTGATGATATTGCCAATGGGTACCAGATGTTCTTTTTTATGTATAGTCCAACTTGCGACAGGCGTATTTTGGCCGCCCACCCCACGCGTATTTTGGACATGTAGTACAGATGGACAATTTTCATCCGTGCGAGACTTTCGTCTCACCGTGCACGTGAATATTATATGCCTCATAAACAGAGCATCGTTCACTGCACTTGACGGAAATTAAAATTTCCAGTGCATATTGCGAGACATGAATACCTTTCTCTTTCCTCGTCTAACGCAAAGTTATGTAGCCTATCTTCTTTAGAACTCCTTATGGGACCGTTCTCAACTTGTAATCTACCATATTCTAGTATACTCTGAATACGCGCTTTGTCTAACCGAGAAGAGGGTGGGGGTTGTAGAATATTATGGCGGAAGAGCCATGATGTCGCAGCTGCCAGTAGTTATATGCCATGAGGTTTTAACTCGGTGACTTACGATATACCGATTATCTTACCACAAGAGCCATTTTAGTATCGTCTAATCTAACCATCATCGTCTGTACTCACCTTTCTCGAGGAATATACGCTGGTCCTGGACCGACCAAATGTGAGGCTGCTTTAGATAGCAGCCTTTCAGCTATCAAATAAATTATTAATTTTAAGTATCATTTTCTGTACTACAAGATTTGTGGGACTTGACATCATTTCTTGACGTATTTTACTGAGAGACGAATTCACAGATCAATACGCCACTCACTGCCCAATCTCTTTAGTGTACCAAAATAGCCTTAGTCTATGGACTTTGAAGGAATACAAACTTCCCTGTATCACCAGTGTTTTAGCTCAGACGGTTGACACGTAAATCCCTCTGGTATTTCTGTAAAACTGAAACTCGGTGAAGTGCAAGAATCACAACGGCGTGACTAAGACATAGAAGTAGCTGACCTAAATACATACGTTTATATAAGGTTAGATAAGCAACTGCGAAGGTTTTCGGAGGTACCATCTAAAATGAAGATAAGATCCCATGTGGACGATTCGGAGGGATGGATAAGATAAATGGGAGAGTAGGGCGATCATAGTCATAGTAGCAATCATATGGTGCCAGGATTGCAGTAGAGCTAGAAAGACCTACTTGGTCAGGATGAGAGGGCATAGCAGTGTTATAGAAAACGAAGGGGCAGACGAGGGGAGTTGAGACTCGGATTGCACATTGGGCGGCCCCACCCACGCCCACGTGCGCACTACCCGAACTGAGAAGACCCATCCCGAGTTCACTAAATATAATCCTAACGGGACCGTAGACATGTCGAGTATACGCCTCACAACAGCAACCCAGCCCTTCCTATACAAAGAACTCTATACGTAACAACAGATAGTGTCGGGAAAGCTCAGAAATCATGTTGGAACGGGTAGTTTGGAGACCGAACGGGTCGCACACAATAACCTGCTTGAGGTATAGATAGGAATATGGTAGCAACCTTAATGGACACCAACGGCATATCCCAAGGCGCTTTCACTAACTTGGTAGTTATTTGAGGGTCCATGCGCTGACAAGATTAAGAGACGAGACTACAGTGAAGGCTAAATATTTCATCGCACATCGGAGTCCGCCATATTTTCATGATGGTCTATAACTTGGAACTGGAACTAACAGGAGAACAGGTGTAGAAAAGGTCTAATAAAGGGACAATGTCACGTGGTCTGATGGTCTAGAGGTATGATTCCTTCTTAGGGTTGTTATCCAAATGGAGGAGGTCCCGGGTTCAATTCCCGGTTAGACCCTTTTGCTCTGAATTGCTCCACCATAATTTTGTGGGAGTGTAAATCACACAGATCCTTTGCTCTAAATTTACTCCTCTTTATAATTTGGTAAGAGGACAAAGTCCGGACAGACCTCTGAGACATTTAGTAGTTGGTGACATACATTCCTTGAATATAAATTATTGATACGTTCGCAGATGGAATCGATGCAATCTGTTCCATGATCAATGATAAATCGTCTATGGCTGTAAAAGCGTTTATCTTAGACTCGTATTTAATCCATGTATCGTACTGGCACATCTTACATAAACGAGCCACAAACGATCATCTGTTTAGATATTATTATTATTGATAGCGAAACTGTCAACATGCTATGGTGAAATTGTATGCTTACGAGTTACCATGGAAGGCGTATGGCTCTCATTAATGATTCCTCAGTGCCACACATCCTATTACAGAAGGCACTCAATGTACTTAAGCAAAGGGAGTCATTGGAACAACAGCATCTGGAGGAACAAATTTTACAGGAGAATTACAATCTCATACTTGCTTATAAGAACTGAAAAACAACTGGGTTTGACTCTCTCCTGTACTATAAACAGCTTCTCCATCCACTTGAAGCTTGTATCTTACCCTCATGCTGGATTCCTGTCATACATTTGAAGCACAAGACCCAAAACTATTCCACACTGTTCACCGTGGAAACAGCTCAAACAGCTTTCAAGTAGCTGATGGTTTCCTTGAAGTTGGCTTCATACCATCTATTTGGAAGCAGGCTATCAATGGGGTTATGCATAAATTTCTCTTTATATCTCCTCACCCCCAACTCTCAGCTGCAGATGCACAGCAGAGTCCTTACCTGTCAAGATTTGGTTTAAAATGTAACATTGTTTATAGTGAATACTTGGAGCCTTGCCAACCAGTATTGCTCCAACTTGAGCAAATCATCAGGCACATAGCTTATTATCAGCATCCAGTTGGTACCTTTGGCATCGAGAGGTCATAACAATTTTGATTGATAGTCTTTACAGTAATCAGCCATGATCATTGATTAGATAGACTCTGTATAATGATACATAGTATATATGCACTGGTATGGATTGGAAATAACATGGTTCCATTTTTCTGAAATAATGCAGTCACATGCATTTATCCATGTGTCTCAACGGCCCTAACTTGATCTATTTATGACACTTTTTCTGTCAACCACCATTTTCTAACAGTAGCAATCCGAATCGACATGATACAATATATTAAACGAGTGTATCATTGGGTTTAATAGATGAAAAATATTTTATTGTGTTCTCTTTGCAGTTTAATGCAGAGTTTCGACTTGAATAAACAATCTTAGTCTTAGCTCACACACAAGAAACTACATATTGTACCTTAAAGGTCAAATACGGACGATCGTGATCTCAATGTACTCACGGAGTCGTTCACTCTTGTGCTTGCACCTTCGTGAAATCATGTCAAAGAGTTATTTCATTATAACATATCCATTTCTTGGAAAAATACTGACCACCTTACCGACCGAGTTAATCCTCCGGTTCGCTCGAAGTTGGAGGCGCTGTACATCTGTTCCATCTATTGTTTAATTGGCTACCTCATCCCTATGTTCATCTCGCGAGGATCATTTTGGCCCCCGTCGTTTGTCGATGAGGTCTAGCAAGGGCCCTAAGTATGTCATGCACCTTCGGTCGTCCTCTATTATGGGTCTCTCCCTCGAATATCTCCAACAGGAGATCGATAAATGCATTCGCCAGGTGGCCATGGGGGGCAAGGGATGTGTTTAAGGATCTGTGACACAGTTTTTGCTACGCAAAACGGGCCTCAATGCATAATGAGTGTAGAGAAACGAGGCTGTCCCTCACTCATGGGCAGGCTACAGATCAAATGTATGTGGGTGATCAATAACATGACGTAGCTTATCCAAGTGGTGTAAAACGTACAGTTTGACACATCGGAGTATCGCGGTAGTGATTGATGAGTCCTTGAATGATTGAATCGGGCTTCACGCAAGGTTCGTGCTTTTGCGTGGTAGTGTTGGCCCACTTGAGCAGATCCGTTTCAGAGGTCGGACACTTCGTTCCAGAGAGTTTGGAGAGCATCTGCGCGATGTTCAGGGAGGCAGGGTGTAGTATAACGGGAACGTGACCTGACCGAGAGCGACTGATGCAGTATAATGAATGTACATCGCCCAGGATTTGATACGTCCGTCATGACATCTGCATCTGCTAGAATTGGGATCTTCAAACTCTACAAAACAGCGAGAATGAGTGCAGATGCTGGCGACTAAACTACATACCCGGCTCAGCAAGCTTCTTCGCCGCCAGTTCATCCAATACTCTACTTGTTTATTCAAAAGGTCCTGGACTTCAGCGACTTCATCCCCGAGACATGTGTCCTTTGTCACTGGCAGCCGTTTTAGGATTAGGGTTAATGTCACAAATTTGGTGCCACCTCTGATTGTGTGCTTTCGGCTTTGAGCATTGACTAGTCATGAATGTCTATTACAAGACTTTGCATTTTGAGAACGTCTTTCAATTCCTGCAAAAAACTATATTTTCAAGATCAACACGGTGAGGTGACCCGATAGTAGCAGTTCCAACTGTCGCAGTTTCTTCAGGAACTGCAAACACCAACGAAACGAGAACTGGCAGTCGACCAATGGAGTCGCTTGTAAATGAACTTTTATAGACTTTTTTATGACACGATGGAAAATTTTTTCTCTATCACCATGAAATTCTGAATGTTGCTGACTCTACAGTGCACAGTTTGACAAATTACACACCAGCTTTCTTGTTTCAATCGCAGCCAACGGAATTCTAAAAGTGACAGCGGATAGCTCAGGGCAAAATAGTGATGTGCCGACCAACATGTCTAGCTTAATGCGATCAAGTCCTCCTCTATCTTGGTTGAGAAGGAAATATTGTTATGACTGTATTCTTCGGAACAGATGTATGTAACACATTCAATCATATAAACATATACCGGGCCTAGCTTTCGTACTTTGCGCACGGCGACCTTGTATTTACCAAGCTGATTGGTCCAGACCACTCTCCAATCCCAGCTGCAGTTCCAGATTATCTTGGTCTTTACGTTAAGACATACGAGGCCCAACCTTGCTTTGATGGGAAAATTGTTATCGTAAAACAGTGCGCAGGGTTTGACAAGAATCAAAGTGCTGAGAGGCGGGAGCGAGCGGTACGGTTTCCGTTTTCTTTTGAAGTGTGTTTGCCTAAGTAGCGATTGGCAATGACATAGTTCCCTAAAATGCTGACATACATTAAAAATATTTGATGATATCTCTATCCGTCCCAGCTGGAATAATGGTCAGCTTTCCCCTTTTACTCCCACGATTTCGTTTGTCGTTATACCGCATCGATCAAGTATATTTGGGGCCTTATTAAACTTGTATTTCAGTCCAGGTCAACTCACAATCACCGTTCACATTGAATCTGGCATCTCAGATGTCTCCTGGTGTATGCGGTTGACTAAATTGTCTGCTTCGTGTCTCCATAGCGTCATCCCAATCTCGGCCTTGGACCATAGGTGCTATATTCGCAGATAATCTCCACGGCCAACTCCGTAATGGTGACACCTCGGAGTTTAGTCTGTCAAAATATGGACTGACACCTACAATAGTACTGGGAATATTCGGAACATGAGTCACCGGCCACGAGGCGAAAACGTTATGCAAACCACGTAGCGTGGAGGAAAAGCTACCGTATGGTCGGCACCGCGCTGATCTGCATGTCTCCGCAAACGGCACGCAAACTCTTTCCAGGTTTAATGATGGACAGCTTGGGGAGTGTTGTTGAGCTTGTGTCGCCTGACCGGCATGACGGACGGGCCATGTTATTGTTCAAATTCCGGCCATTCGGTACATCAACATGACATCTGTGGGCCACCGGCATACGCTCGTGTTCCAGTACAGTAGCTTAGTAATATTAATCATTTTATTCTGATTCGTACTATTGCAAACGCTTTCCGTTCATCTACACTATTCTACATTGCTTGATTACCTGCCTTCCGAATGCCTGCCAGATTCGCGTAAACCTGAAAATTTTCAACGCTGAATAGTGCGTGACTTAATACTTTGGTATAAGAACAACCGGTTATTTCGTGAGAGAATTCAGCATGAATGCATTTGACGTAGACCTCTGAACAATATCGCGCAAACCTTCCGCTCGATCTACACTAATAGTGAAGGGATATAAAGTGGATCGATTAGTGCGGCATAAAATAAGATTGAGGCAGGCTAGTCTTAATCTTCATCCCATCAAGCCCACCTTGCAATCCGCCACTCAACCTTTTGAAGTCGATTACCCTAGTGAGTGTCCAGCGTTACATAGGACGCGGAGCAACAGTGACGTTTTGTCGGGGAAGATCATTAAATATTGGCTCAAAAAAGTTTTATAGATCGTTTGTGTAGAAGTCAACTAGTAATGTGGATCCCCTTTGGGATATCTGGGGTGAATAAATCGCTGGTTTTGCCTAGAAGAGGAAAAGTAGATTCAATCTTGTCTAGGCGATCAGAGTATTTTGGTTTTCAGAAGGCAATTTGCCACGTCACCACACGGGAATCTCCCCCAGAATGTTACTTCTCTTTGAGCACATCACTAATGCAAAAATCAGATTCATTGGGAGGTTTATGGACGGACTATGATAGCAGTAAGATAGAAAATATAAACTTATCCTCCCAGGACATATAAGGCAAGACGTCCATGGATCGCTTTGCACAAAGTTCATTTGCTTCTCGCTCCTCAATCCCATCTAAAACATTCCCAGGTGCAAGACCTTTCTTGTGGTCCTTACAGTGCTGGTTAAAATTTTCAGAAAAGAAAAAACCGCCCCGCTGGGGGCAAGCTTCTTCTTGACACCTTAATAGTGAGTGATAGACAATCTCCCAGTTTCGAACAGAGAGATAGACACTTCCATCTTCCTTGAGTTCAAACAAATGGCCTTTTAGCCAGTGTTGCATCACATCTAGTGGATCGTTGTACCGGTATGAGCAGCAT